CATGTCACTTGTTAGATGCTTTTATCCAAAGCGACTTACATACTCAATACTGTGGGCAATCCCCACAGCAGCAATTTAAGGTGAAGTGTCTCAGGGACACAACAACATGCTGACTGCAGTGGGGTTTGGACCTGTGACCCCCTGATCCCAACACCTACGCACAACCCACTGCGCCACACACCTCCTAGTATTCCCTTTAAATGCTCTATTCGACCTACTGCCACACCTACAATGGGGTTTAAGACCATCCACATTTCTCATCATCTTATGCCAATAAACATTCTTTAATCAGAATACCCTGATTGATCAATCGGTCCCTCTAATAAACTCATTCCTTATCTTCACTCCCAACACAAATCTTAGCATCTTAACCTCTGCCACCTCCAGATCTGCCTTCATGAATATCGGTACTAAACAGGGGCGGACTCCCGATGGGCTGGTACTGAAGTGGGCCGGTCGGACGATGTGGACCCCCCCTTCCCCCCGTCGACAGCGGTATTTACTTGCGGCACCGAGGTGGGCCGGGGTGGAGAAGTCACTAGCACCCCCCCTTCCCCTCCCCCCCATTGATAGCTGTAATTACTTGCGTTACCGGGGTGGGCCGGTGTTACAGAAGTGGGCCGGTCGAGAGTCCTGGGCTGATTTGTAGTCCTAGTCCGCCCCTGGTACAAAATGTTTTATGAAAACCAAAGTAATAAACCAAAATTATCTAACTCATTGTTACACTCAAGGATACGTCAGTGAACAGAATTTCTTTGCAATACATCCAATAGCTTTTGATGTATTTGAGTCTGGTCTGTGAAGGCGTCACTTTTTATTTTCACCCCTTCTCCGAGCGAGGTACCCTTGAAGTAACAGGTTATGCAACAGTTTTTAGACACAAAAGCTGCTGAGCATTTGTCTCACTGTTGCGGTGTTATGTATTAAATCTATTCTCCGTCCCACTCCTTCTGCTTTTGAGGAGTTGTGCTTGTTTTTAGACCTTGTCGGGTGTCAACAAAACTCTAGTGGGATGCTATGAGAGTGTCTTCTCTCCAGCAGTATCTCATTATTTTCAAGGTGCCCCGGTTCCACAGTAATGCAACTTTTTTAAAGCTTTGCAGAGGACAAAGTGAAGTACCGTAGCAAGAGTATTCCTGGATTCCTCCGAAGGCGCATCAGAGTTGTTTTCATGTGCGATAAGGATTGCTTTTGGGTAAAAATACACAACTCTATTTGGACTGCTATTGGTGCTGAATGAGCAAATAGTGTCCTGTCACTTCAAATCCAGCTGCTTTCCTAAGGGGGTTTAGTGAGGAAGCTGCAGAAAGGAAATGGACAAATTGAAACCCAAGCTTCTTGTGTTTTCAAAGAGTTAAGGTCGGTCCTCTGGAAACTGATAAGACAGAGGTTGATACAGGTCGAAGCAAAAGAAAACTGAAGTCAAGAGAGGAGAAAAGTGGGGAACAAAGTGAGATGAGATCATGCGACAGTTTATTATGCAGATGAGGAAAGTGAGCGACTCCTAAACTGTCTGAGCGTTTCCTAATTCATCACTGTCGCTTTCAGTGTGTGTGTGTGTGTGTGTGTGTGTGTGTGTGTGTGTGTGT